AAACATAAAATTCTTTCTTCATTTGAAACCAAAGTTTTTGAAACTTTGGGAGTTTCTGTTGAAACAAAATTTGGACAACTTACGTTTATAGCTGCCTATTTGCCATTCCAATGCGTAGGCCAGCAAAAGAATTTTCTCAAGGGTGACCTCCAGAAACTTACCCGTCATAGGTCTAAATTCTTCATTATTGGTGATTTTAATGCAAAACACCGCTCATGGAATAATGCTCAAAGCAATTCCAATGGTAATATTCTGTTTGATGATTGTTCTGCAGGTTATTACACTATTCAATATCCAAACAGCCCAACATGCTTTTCTTCTGCAAGAAATCCCTCCACTATTGATTTGGTCTTAACTGATTCATGTCAACTTTGTAGCCAATTGGTTACCCATGCTGACTTCGGTTCTGATCACCTTCCAGTAACTTTTGAAATATCCCAAGAAATAATTTGTAATCCCAACAGCTCTACTTTCAATTACCATAGAGCTGATTGGGAGCAGTATCGAACATTTATGGAATATAGCTTCGATCCAAACATTCCTTTGCAAACCAAAGATGAAATTAATTATGCTCTTGAATCTCTGACTACTTCTATAGTTGAAGCAAGAGCTGCCTCAGTACCAAAATGCGAGGTTAAATTCGATTCAATTATAATAGACGATGATCTTCAGCTCTTGATCCATCTTAAAAATGTCCGTAGGAGACAATTTCAAAGAACACGCGATCCTGCCATGAAAGTTATCTGGCGGGATTTGCAAAAACAAATTAAAAAGCGATTCTCTGCCCTGAGGAACAAAACTTTTGAAAATAATATTTCTAAATTAGACCCGAGTTCCAAACCCTTTTGGAAACTCACAAAATTTTTGAAAAAACCTCAAAAGCCTATTCCAGCGCTTAAAGAAGGTGGTAAAATTTTGATCACAAATTTGGAAAAAGCTCAGAAACTTGCTAAGCAATTCGAGAGTTCCCATAATTTCAGTTTGGGTCTTACTAGTCCTATTGAGAATCAGGTTGCTCGGGATTTTCTGAATATTTTCTCTCGGGAAAATATTTTTGATGATTCCTGGGGGACTGATTTGGACGAAGTAAGGTCTATAACTAAAATTTTTCAAAATATGAAAGCTCCAGGTGATGATGGAATTTTCTATATCCTCATAAAAAAACTCCCAGAGAGTACCTTGTCTTTCTTGGTAAAATTATTTAACAGATGTTTCCATTTGGCATACTTTCCTGATAAATGGAAAAATGCAAAAGTTGTTCCAATTTTGAAGCCGGATAAAAATCCAGCTGAAGCTTCTAGCTACCGTCCAATAAGTTTGCTTTCTTCAATAAGTAAACTTTTTGAAAAGATAATTTTGAATAGAATGATGCTTCACATCAATACGAACTCAATTTTTGCAGATGAGCAGTTTGGATTTCGCCATGGGCATTCAACTACTCATCAACTCTTAAGAGTTAACAATTTAATTCGTTCAAACAAATCTGAAGGCCACTCAACTGGAGTTGCACTTCTAGACATAGAAAAAGCATTCGACAGTGTTTGGCATGAAGGTTTGATTGCTAAATTGGAAAAGTTTAATTTTCCACTTTACATTATGAAATTAGTTCAAAATTATTTAACTGACAGAACTCTTCAAGTAAATTATCAAAATTCCAAATCTAATCGACTACCTGTTAGAGCAGGAGTTCCTCAGGGTAGCATTCTTGGACCTATATTGTATAACATTTTCACTTCGGACCTCCCTGATTTGCCTCAGGGTTGCCACAAATCTTTGTTCGCTGATGACACAGGCATTTCCGCTAAAGGAAGAAGTATTCGTGTTATTTGCAGCAGACTGTAGAAAAGTTTAGATATTTTCTCTTCTTATTTACAAAAATGGAAGATTTCTCCCAACGCTTCCAAAACTCAACTTATAATATTTCCACATAAGCCTAGAGCTTCGTTTTTGAAACCTAGTAGTAGTCACATAGTCACTATGAACGGAGTTCCAATTTCCTGGTCAAACCAAGTGAAATATCTTGGATTAATACTTGACCAAAAATTAACTTTTAAAGATCACATTGAGGGCATTCAAGCCAAATGTAACAAATATATTAAATGTTTGTATCCTCTTATAAACAGGAAATCCAAACTTTGCCTGACGAATAAACTTCTAATATTTAAACAAGTTTTTAGACCGGCCATGCTTTACGCTGTGCCAATATGGTCTAGTTGCTGCACTACCAGGAAAAAAGCACTTCAAAGGATTCAGAACAAAATTCTGAAAATGATTTTGAAGTTGCCTCCCTGGTACAGTACAACCGAAGTACATAGAATTTCGAATGTTGAGACTTTAGCACAAATGTCCAACAAAATAATTAATAATTTCAGGCAAAAATCGTTGCAATCCTCAATTGCAACGATTAATTCCCTTTATACTTAGATAAGATTTAGTTTTAGTTTTTAGTTTTAAGATATCAATTGTTATACTGACATGCAGGTTAAAAAACCTGTTTAAAATACTGAATTGCCAAGACATGAACAATGTAAAAACACTTAGATATATATCATAACAATTAAGGCTGGTAAGTTACTGTTGTAACTGGAGCACCTAGGTTAAAATGAAATGTAATTTATTTTGAATTTGGAACAAATAAAGAGTTAAAAAAAAGACATGAGTTCAAGAGTGCTAAGAAGACACATAATCAAAAACCACGTTAGGATTATTTTAATATAATTGACTACCCCCTTGATCTTCTTTCTCATTTTACAGCTGGTATAATCAGTTTGACAGATCGATGTCCTACTATACCACTTGAAATCACTGAAATGGGGTCGATTTTTGATGATCGAGTTCCATATATGTGATGTGCTAAAGTGGTAATTTTTATACGATAGATGAGGAGATGAAAGTATAGAGTTGATAGTTCATTAGAGTACGGCAGTCTGAATTCTATATAGAGAGTAGAAAGCGAGCAAGGGCAACTATTAGGAAGATACAAATCGGGTTGATAATCTCTCTTTACCAAACTCCCCCGTTGGAGAGGGATGGTGAGGTACTATGCAAATCTTTAACTTCACGCAGTAGCAATACAAACAAATAGTTAAAACTATTGGTGGCCATTGATATGGTCATTAAGAGTTTTGTCCGGGTTTTGTTAGTAGTTGTTCTACTGTGAGCTGATGATTCAGGTTACAATAAGTATTACTTGAACCACGTTACTTACGACCCTAAAACAAAATGGATTGGTATAAGAATATCTCAAAAATTGAATAGGTTATTCATTCTCTGCAAATAGCTTAGGAAATTTTCTGCGGATACCTTTGAAATTCTGTATGGTTGTGTAAAAATTATTTGGATCAAGGTATGATGGAATATTTCTGACAAATTCTTTGCGGAAAACCAACGCTTGAAGCTGATCGAATGTTTTATTTGCCTTTATTCAAATATTTGCTTTTACTCCGATGTCTATCGAATGTTTTAGACTAAACAAGCTACAAATTAGTTGAAACGCTGGAACGTGACTTATTAATATTCGATTTTCTTGTCTGACTAACTGCTGAATGCTATTAAATGTGTGTTTATTTTAATTTGTATGCTTCTGTTTTGGATGACATTGCTATGGGGGAGTAGTAGAAAGGTTTTGCTTCGTTTGTTTTCTGTTTATATTTTTATCTGTATATTTTGGTCATATGATTGTGAGTTTAAGATTAATCATCGGATAGATTACGAGTGCTATATGTTTGATAATTTGTTCGGCTTACATCGTAAGTTGTGGGGAGAATTTTCCTCAAAGCCCCTGAATACGGAACGTGGAATCTAAGAATTTTCAAACTATCACTTATTTTCTTCGGTAGAAGTTTATCGACAATTTACCTAGATCGTTCTGACTCGAATGTTGCTGGGACGATTACACATAAAAAAAGCGATCGGAGTCACTATGCTCCCCACTATCGGACTGAATCACTGGAAGAAACTTTCATCTGTCCGGCTATATCGGACTAACACGCAAGTTTGGGAAATGTCCTCTTTGACTTTGACTTAAATTGAATCTAATTCGGGAAAAAGTGTGCCAGGTTGCATATGTGTAAGTGAGATTGCACATCAAGAACTTGATACTGGAAACTACTGATTGCTCGCCATCTGTTAAGTTGGGCCTACGAACTCATTACTGACCGACGACAGATGGTAGAAGTCGTGTCTTCTGCTTGGCTTGCAACTTCAAGTTCCTTTATCGAAAAAAATCAAATTACTGTAAACATCTCGGTATTTGTGTTTGTATGTTTTATTCTGTTAACTTCCGTGGCTTCTATCTGGTACTTTCAAACTTAGATTATCTGTTTCTTCTTTCACACGTCAATGTAACTCAATCAAAACTAAAATCGGTTCCATACTTTCGCTGATTTTCCTCCATTTTACTCTTGTCCACATTTTCCACCAGGAGCAGTATTCGTCAACTCCGCCAAAACTTCCGATACCACTGTCGATGATGATTTTGCAGCTGGTGGTGATGGCGCTGGGGACGCTCATGATGGAAATCCGCGAATGCCGGTTGATAAACGGAAGGGAAGATTACAGCTACGGCTCCCTTATCTGTCATGGCGAGAACAGAAATTCGGAACTCGATGATTGACTCGTTCGGACACTGAATTATTCTACTAAGCTTCTAACAAAAACGAAACCAAATTTCTCACAAATCAACATCCACTCCCCTGATAGAGATGATGAAGGCAGTCCAGTCCAGTCAATCCCATCGTTTCCCGCAACATACACTTTTGGTACAAAACAAATGGAGGACCAACGTAAACATAAAACCCGAATGGAGCAGCATGAATTTTCTGTACAAGACGACCGAATTTCCATCCAAATTTTCTCACAATTTGCCGTCCAAGAACCAAATAATAAACATAAACAGAACCTCCACCGGAATGAATTAACCAGGCCTGACAGTGGTGAGGAGAAAGAAATGGCTGCACCTTTGCTATGTTGGTATTCCGGTTCGAGAAATAAAACAAAGCTTTGGTTTTGTACAGGATCATGCTGAGATTTTCATATTTCTTCCAGAAAGAGTATTTTCGTTTATTTTGATTTTTTTTTTTCGTTTTTCCAAACATAACATTCCAACTAACTAAGAAAAACAAAGAACCAAAACAAACCGGACGTGTAACGAAAACTGAAAGCACAACACCGAATGTGGATAGCAGGATTTTTGTTTTTTTTTGTTTCCGCTTCTTCCTGATTGATTTCTTGAGATAAAAGTAATTTGGTAGAGTAAGTTTCAGTAAGTAAGTGAGTCGAAGGTTGGACCAGCAGGTTACCAAATCGGTTTCGGTAACCCTTCCATCCATCCCTCCCTCCCACCGGCGGAAGTAAAGGTGAAGAAGGTTGTTTGTTGTTTGTTCTAGATATACGTTATTAATGTGTATGGGATGTGGTTCGGTTGTTTGGAGAGATGGTATTTACATGATGACACATTTGCCCTTCTCCGCCCAGGGGTTGTTCTTCTTGTCGGGCGCATGGATTAGCGGGTCGTTTTTCTCGTTCTCCTCGACGTACTCTCGCATCCTGAGGGGGAGAAAGAAGAGAGCAGAAATTAATGTTAGAGGTAAGCTACTTAAGTTTAGACCAACGCGAACCAAAACGAGTATAACAACACCTACAATAAACAAACCACATTTTCAGCGCTGGGTTACCGGCAAAGTAAATGTTTACCTCCCCATGATTGATATTTTCTCCTGTTCATCTCAGGAGCCCAATGGTAATTGGACTGGAAAGCACGTCTCGCCGTCCCGCGAAACCAATCTCAAATAGCTCACTGTAGACTGACTGACGTCGGTTTCACTGGAATTCCTCAACATCAGGTGGGTAGGTCGAACTTTTTCCCACCAACAAGAACTGGAAAGATCCACCTTGTGCCAACAACACATAGGGTAAATTTGAATAACATTGAACTGAAAAAGAGCACACATTGCTCCACGTATAGACCAGCCCGTTGTTGGTCGTGATTTGCTGCCCCGAGGTGGCTCCAATATTGAAATATTTGCTTTCATGTTTCTGCTGGACCCCACTAAGAGAAGGGAAAACAAGTCAGCCTATCCAATGGGTTTCGGTTGTTTGCTTAGACTGGTTCACAGGTTAAATCCCGGCAGGCAACAGAAGCGAAAAAGCGGAACAATTCAACGCGTCGAGGGCGGTAATGTTAACTTCTGAAAAGTTGAAAATTTATTAAACCCTCTAGACAATTTCAATGGAATGCAGCGAAATGGGCCGAACTCCACGCAAAATGAAAAGTGGAGGAAAACTTTACTGATGAAACGAACGGGAAAGTGTGTTGTTCTTTTTTCTTTGTTTTCAATGGTTGTTTGTATCAGTTTCCGGGAATTTGTCGCTCTAAACTGCTGTATGAATACGAAACTCCAACCGAGAAAAAGGGGAAGGGAGTCGAACAAGGGTCGCACCCATATTACTGCTCGAATGGTGGGAGGCTGACTACTCAAAAACTTTATCTTTTTCGAAAGCTTAATCACTTTTTCCTGTTTTTTAGAGCACTAGACCATCGTACCACTCTGGATTGTTCCTCCTCCTTTACCTACTCGTGTCAAGAGACTTATAATTTTCACGCATAATAGAAATACACTGATCGCCTAGGAAATTTGATTGTACCCTTTCGTTCTGTCTTGTTTGAATTTTAACCCGCAAAAGCCCGGGACAAACTTTTTATTTTCAAAAATTTGCACCTCAGAGATGCCATGGCCGATTAAATCTATTTTTTGACGTAGAACTACGTCTTTAATTTCTATACTGGGGGTCATATTAAAAAAATCAAAATTCATACATGTAACGAAAAATCCCAAACACGGACGAAACGATAGAGCGCAAATCGAACACACGACACATTGTGTATGCTCACATGAGAGAGCTCACCGCTCGGTTGACCGCTCACCATTTCACCAATGAATGGAAGGGAGGAGAAAAACGCTTGCCAAATTGTTTTCTTCGTCATTTACTTTCGAGCCACGGACGGAGGCTCATTCTCTGCTTGAACGTCAAGCAGTACAGTTCGGTCTTTGCTCGCTCTGTCGAGTTGTTCTAAAGTTTCTAGTTTGTTCCAAACATTCGCAGTTTAATCGCGTCGTCAGTAGTGTCGGTCGCTTCGTGTGATGGGAAGACAGCGCTCCCGGAGCAGGCTCCGAGAGAAAACGGAGAAGAAGAACAGCGGTGAGGGTAGCTTGAGTGTACCTATTTCGAATAGGTACGCTACTCTTCCCACCGATGTAGGGAATCCCACCTCAGCCACGGTGAAGCGGTCTAAGAAGAGGAAGAAAAATCAAGGCCAGTCCGATGGTGCGAGTGGACGGGACGATGCCACCGCGACGAACGTCAGCGTCATTGGTGATTTTGCAGACGCCGTCGACAACGAAACTGCTGCCACCCCGAGTGCAGCAAAAATGAAGCTTCCTCCACTGGTGGTGAAGCAAGTCCCACTCAACACGCTGATTGGCGATCTTTCATCGCTGGGCGTTGCAGCTGAGTTTAAGCTCGGCAGGATCGGCACCAAGGTGATGCTCCGAACAAAAGCGGAGTACGAAGTGGCCGTGAAACATCTGAAGGATACCAAGGCGGAATTCTTCACGCACGACATCCCCGGTGAGAAGCCCTTCAAGGTAGTCATCAGGGGTCTACCAAACTTCGACCCCAAGATGGTCGAAGCTGAAATCAACCGGTACAAGCTTGCCCCAATCGCTGTCTTCCGAATGACAAGGAGAGACGAAAACGTGAAGACGTACCCGGATTGTCTTTTCCTGGTGCACTTCCAGAAAGGGACAGTGACGCTCAATGCGCTACAAGCCATCCGATCAATCTGCTCCATCATCGTACGGTGGGAGCCATACCGTGGCGGCCATCGTGACGTAACGCAGTGTATGAGGTGCCTCAATTTTGGACACGGTACCCGCAACTGCAACATCAAGCCACGCTGCAGCAACTGCGCTCAAGAACACGCCACTTCCAACTGCCCTGCGGATGGAGCCGTGGCGATAAAATGCGCTAACTGTGGTGGTGCTCATCAAGGCTCTGACAGACAGTGCTCCAAACGCGAGGACTTCAAACGCATCCGAAAGCAGGCGTCAAGCAACAATCAACCAGGACGCAAGAAGGACAAAACCCCATCATTCAGGACGGAGGATTTTCCGCCTTTTCGTGCTCCCCAGCAAAGGCAAGCGAATTCGCGGGTGCAACCCGCCCCTCCTCAAGAAGCTTCCGGTGATTCTGCTGGCCAAAGCTCTCCATCCCCCCCTGGATTCTGGAGACAACCAACAGGACAAAACAACAACCCCGATCTGTTCTCAGCGGATGAACTGATGGAAATTTTCGTCAACATGTCCGGTGCTCTTCGTAAGTGCCGCAATAAGCCCGAACAGATCCAAGTGCTCGGTAAGTTCATCATCCAGTATGGCGTCTAAACCGCTAACTATCGTCACCTGGAATGCTTGCTCTGTAAGAGCAAAAAAGATTGAGCTTGCCGACTTCCTCCGCAAGCACAGCATCGACGTGGGCCTTCTAACCGAGACCCATCTAAAGTCCGGTGACAGCTTCTGGTTGCCTGACCACAACATTATCCGGCTTGATCGCACCAGCTCCAGGGGGGGTGGTGTTGCGGTCGTCGTCAAGAAAGGAATAAAATACCACACTCTGTCCCATATCCGCACCTCTATCATCGAGGCCCTTGGTGTGGAGGTGGAGTCGTCGACTGGATACGTCCAGTTCATCGCCGTCTACTGCCCTCGACAGTGTGCCGCAGTGGACTAGCGGCTAAATTCAAGAAGGACCTGTCCACCATCACCCGTAACGGTTCCCGCTTCGTCGTTGGAGGAGATCTGAATGCTCGCCATGAGGCCTGGCGGAACTACCAGCAGAACCAGAACGGTCGTCTCCTGTTCGACCACTCACAGCATGGGCTGTACTCCGTTTGGTTTTCGGATGAACCAACATTCATCTCACCGGCGGGCAACCCATCGACGCTAGACCTGTTCATGACAAATATCGGCTTGTCCAAGCCGGTAGCCTTGAACGAACTCAGCTCCGACCACCAACCGGTGGTGGCTGAACTGGGCTGCAACGTGGCTCCTGCTTCAAGTCTGCGCAAGGACTACCATCGCGTTAACTGGGCCCAGTTTGGACGCGTGGTAGACAGGCACATCATCGACAACCCGCCGCTTGACACCGTGGAGGACATCGATCGAGCGTTGGAGGGACTCCATCAAGCCATAACCGTGGCTGACGAGGCATGCGTCCGACGAGTTCCTGTGAGGGGTAAGTTTATTGCCATTGATTCCCACACCCAACTTTTGATTCGCCTGAGAAATGTTCGTAGACGCCAGTTTCAGAGGACTGGAGATCTGGGCAAAAAACGTGAAACGGCTGATCTGAACAGACAGATTGCTTCCAGAATGGACTCACTCCGAAATGAAAGTTTCGGGCGTGTTGTCCAGAATCTGGACGACCGCTCCAGACCATTCTGGAAGGTAGCCAAGGTCCTGAAAAATCATCCCAAACCCGTTCCACCTCTCAAAGTCGAAAATGATGACGATCGGCTTTTAATTACCCCACAGGAGAAAGCAAATGCGATCGGCAAGCATGTCGCTTCATCGCATTTGCTTGGCTCGACTATCCAAAGTCCGCTCGATGATCAGGTTGCGCAATGCGTTCAAAACCTAGATGCCTCCCCTTGTGTCGTGCCTCCGGCGGATATGATTACAGTACAACAAATTTGCTCAGCGCTGAAATGCACCAAGAACATGAAGGCTCCCGGGTTTGACGGTATATTCAACTTGATCTTGAAGAGACTCAGCATGAAAGTGCAGTCTCTTCTAACCGCTATCTTCAACAGATGCTTGGAACTGCACTACTTTCCAAGCATCTGGAAAGTAGCAAAAATCATACCAATCCGCAAGCCCGGTAAGGATCCAACATTGCCTTCAAGCTACAGACCAATCAGCCTCCTTTCAGCGCTGAGCAAATTGTTCGAGAAACTCATTCTCAATCGTTTGCTCAAGTTTGTCGAGGAAAATAACATTCTCCTTCCGGAACAGTTTGGGTTCAGAAAGGGGCACTCCACCAATCACCAGCTAGTGCGGGTGATGAATAACATCCGAAGTAACAAAGCTGTATCCAAGTCCACAGCCCTGGCATTGTTAGACGTTGAAAAGGCGTTTGACAATGTTTGGCATGACGGACTTGTGTACAAGCTTTGTAACTTCAACTTCCCATTACATCTGGTTAAAATCACCCGTAACTACCTTCAGCAAAGGTCGTTTAAGGTATCGTTGAATGGTTGTCTTTCCGACACGTTTTCCATCCCAGCAGGAGTGCCGCAAGGCAGTCTACTGGGCCCGTTGCTTTACAGCATTTATACTTCCGACATTCCTCCCCTTGGAGACGGTTGCGTGTTCTTCCTGTTCGCAGATGATACCGCAATAGCCGTCAAAGGAAGGATGCCTCGCGAAATAACGAACAAACTTCAACGATGCCTTAACGCCTTTGCTGATTATGCCACCACGTGGAAA